GACCCTTTAAATGATCAGAAAAGCTTTATTAACATCATGCTAAGGGGAGGAGTTTTTCTTCACCAACAGGTGGTTCTGTAAAGTAGTCCAAATGTATGACACACTTTTCTGATTTCCTCTTTACGAAAAAAACATGTTAAAATATAATTTACTATGTTGGTCTACATATCTTATATGATAAAGGGTCTGATGATTACATGGCCTGATTCTTCTAATTGTGCAGGTTCGTATTTAACCATAAAAAAATCGAAATCCTTGTTTATCCGTTCTGCTGTTTCCTTCTTCCTTTGCTCCATATATACTTCCTTTTACATCAGAACCCCTTTCACCTCGTCCTCTGCCCTAATGACATTAAACCAAATTTCCCTTCCTCTACCTTTACTTTTCCCTTTCCCTGCAGTTTTTCCTTTTTCCTGCCTTATTTTTTTCCCCCAGCTCTCCTAGGTGCTGTTGGTGTTCAGTTTGTGCCGTTCATTCTCCTGCCCTCTGTTACAGTAAACAGTGGAGCCCCTGCTGAGTCTGAATTATTTATAGGTTCATTTGTTTTTATTAAATATCAGGTGTCTCTGTTAAAACCAGTGCAACCAGCATCCTTTCTCACAGAGTGTTTCTACAACGATGATTTAAAAACACTCAGACTTAATATTTGGATTAATTTAATGTGTCAGCTAATGAAAAGTCATTAAAATGTTTAAGTAAACATGGTCAGCCACATGTTTTGAGGTAGAAATACAGTATGAATCTCCTTAGCCAAATACACAGTATAAAGAAAAAAGTTTGTCTGAAAACTTGCCTTTGGCTCCACCTGGAGGTAAGTTTGAGTAATTACACCATGAACTGACTGTTTCTTAGGAAATTCAACATTTTAGCACAATTTGTTATGTTTAAAAATGTGAAAAGTGTGGCCCTACATTTGGGCTCAGTCTACCTGAATCACCACTTTTTAGAACCAATACAATTACAGCCTAAAGTCCTTCAGTCTCTACCAATTCTGCAGAAACCAGTCAGTGTTTGTTGCGACCACCATTCACTCTGAGTGCAACTCTTCTTCTTCGTATAAAGTCATCCCTCATTGCACGTGCAAAATTTCTGGACATTGGCAGGAACTGGAGAAATGGTACTGAATGTTTTCTAAAATATCAAACTAAAAAAAATCTCCCCTCAAAGGGAAACATCTGCAAAGCAGCTTGTGATTTTCTTTTTCTTGTTTGTTGGGGATATTTATAGTTATTAATATTCTGTTAGCCTACTCATTCAAATCTGACTTAAAAAAAAAACAAAAAACATTAATTTTCCTCTTTTTGTTTCCTAAAATATATTTAAAAATAGCTAATAAGTGGTTCATAGTTACAGCTTTCAAACTTCAAAATCATTTGAGTTTATTGAACTTCTGACTACTAGATACGGTGAAGAAGACATTTTTGGTTACTCAGGTTTTCAGAGGATAGTCTCCTCCTGTGGTGCCTTTATTTTCTATTTATTCCTAATTTTTATGTTCATTTTTAAAATCTATTATCTATGCTCTTACAGCTTGTTGGTCTCTTCCTTCCTTTCTCGTTGACGTTGCTTTCTTGGTGTCCCTCTGTGTTTTCTTTTGTCCACATCTTTCCTTTCTTTCACTCACTCTGAGGCTTTCTGCCTGCTCTATAAATAAAAATGAACTTGAGCTTATTAATGAAAACAATATATAAAGCACATTTCCCCTTATTTTTGTATAAAATGGCATTTGCACTGCAACCCAGCAAGCTACTACAGGAATTTAAATATGTACAGATTCCAAACTAAGAAATAAAGATGTTAGTTTTTTTTTATATTATTGGTTTAATTCCTTGTCTATAGCAACAATCAGCCAAATATTTGTTTAGACGGTTTTCTTTGGTGTTTCTCACACTGTTGCCATAATATCAGCTATTTACATCCAACATTATAAACCGTCTTTTAGCAATGAGGCAAGTTTAAGTCAAATGTAAGAAAAAAAAGGGAACTTCCTCCTTAACTATAAAGTAGTGTTGGTACCATATAGGGGTGTAAATAAGAACCTTTTTGTATCGATGCATCGACACGTCCGCAAGAGTATCGATTCATGTTTTTTTTTTTCACCAGTCTGTTTTTATCCATTTGCTCCTGGATGTAATTCTGACTCCCGTGCTGCGGTGGCGCTAAACCTATTTTGCCCTTCTTCCTCGCTTCCTTTAGCCACATTGCACTTGCGTAAAAAGTAGGCAAGACAGGAGGTTCAAGTCATTTGTGTGGAAGTTTTTCTGTTATTTGCTGTTGTTTCTCAAATAAAACGCATAACAATATAACAGCTTTCATTGATTTATTTCAAACTTGAAACATTGTCTAGCCTGTAAGGTCAAAAGTTTTTTTGTTTTTTTTTTATTTTTTACCAACAATGGAATCAAATTGTATCGTTGTGTATTCTTGAGTACCGAAAATAATCTAATCGTTGGGTCAGGTAATTGATACTGAATCGAATCTCCATGATGGGCGTGATTTACACTTCGATATGTTACGACTCAATACGATTAATAAGAACATTTTTTTTTCTTTTACCTTATAGGCTAGAAAACGACGATTATTATTTACACCCCTAGTCCATGCATGTGACATGAGTTTGCCTACACTCCATTTGAAAAGGGTTATTAAAACCCCTCAGTATGATTATGCCACCACCATGCTGGACTAATCTGGAGTTTCTCGGGATTTCACCACATATGGTATAGCCTTGACAGCCATCAAATTCCAATATGATTTAATCTGAGTAGCAAACATTTTGCTTGTCTCCTTTAGGCAATGACTAATTCCTTAAACAGTTGGACTTTGGCAGATCTGCAACTTTACATTTTCCTGTGGTAAATGTTGTCGGAAAATTTTGATTTATTTTCTATTATATATGAATTTATCCCATTTACTCACTATAAAAGTTTTCACAGTCTGTTTCGCTCTCAAGGCCACACCCTTCCCTGCAGGATAGTGTCTGTAGACCAGACATAGCTTCTTCCCATAACAAACCAGATTCTTTCTCAAGGTTTATTCATAACATGTTACTGTTAAACCTAAGTGTTTGTAATTTGTTTTAAATTTGACTACTTTTCCATTGTTGTAAGTAAGGGGAAACGAACGCTGCTCATGCAGAACAGGGCAGACTGCTGTGCCATTGGGTCTGTATGATGAACTGTTCTCTCTTTGCAAAGATATGAATAAATGTGCCGACTGAGTGAAATCCATCGATCTCTGTTTATATAACTAGGGTGAATAGTTGAACACTTTTTTCCCACCACATAAGATAGATTACATTACACCTAAGTTGTCTTTACTGTTTATACTTTTATATGTATTGTCCTAGGCTTTCACAACTGCGTTACTGTAAACATGTAGGGATTTGATATTTGTGACGAGCTGATTTAGAACTATATATTAAAAAGTATGCTAGTAAATTGAAACATGTGATTAAATAATTTTATGTCCACCTATTTATCACATTCTTCAGCATATTATAAGATCAACCTAAGAAGGGGAATTTTATGAAGTAGGTTTCATTCCAGCAATTTTGACTTTTTTGCATCAATAAGAAAAAAAAAAACATCAGTTTGTGTTGGTCTGTCATCTATGGAAGAGGATTAGGGCCACTAAAAATTTTTTTAAAAAGTTAACTGATTTTTAAATATAATTTCAGTTTAATATGAGAAAAAACTCAGAATTCCGAGTTTAATCTCAGAATTCTGACTTTAATCTCAGACTTCTGACTTTTTTTTTTTCAGTAATCGGACATTAATTCTGGCTTTTTTCTTGGAATTCTGACTTTTCCTTAGAATTTTGCCTTTAATCTCAGAAATATGACTTTATTCTCAAAATTCTGATTTTAAACGCTGAATTTTTGCTTTTTTCTCAGAATTCTAACTTTTTCTCAAAATTTTGACTGAATTCTTAAAGCTAACACACATCAAGCCATAGCCATGTCTAGAGACTAAACTATCTCTTTTGTTTTAATCACCTTCTGCTCTTCCATTATTGAAATAGCTTCACCAGGGACCCCTTGGGCACATAAAAAGTCACCTAATTCTGTCATTTTCCACCAATGTTTTACAGGCCCTCCCAAACAACTCACATCTTTGTCAGTGAAGCTGAGTGCTCCCACATCTCTTCCTTCGGGGTGCCCTTTAAGATTAGGTTCCAAAATTCCGAGATTAAGTCAGAGTTCTGAGATTAAAGTCAGAATTCTGATTAAAAAAGTCAGAATTCTCAGAAAAAAGTCAGAATTCAGAGAAAAAAAAATCTGAATTCTGAGAGTAAAGCCAGAATTCTGGGAAAAATGTCAGAATCCTTAGATTAAAGTCAGAATTCTGACTTTTTCCCCCATATTAAACTGAAATATTTAAAATCAGTTAACTTAATTTATTTTTTCAGTGGCCCTAATCCTCTTCCGTAGTCATCAAAAAAAAAAAAAAAAAAAAAAAAAAATAGATAAATAATAGTTCTGTAAAAGCTTATTGTAATGTAATAAAATACTGAAAACAAGAGAGCCAAGTACATCCTGGAGAGTGTAGTGCGCGGTTATGGACGCTAGGTGACACAAATGAGGCACAAATGTATCGAAATTAACTGAATAAACAGAAATGAGTAAAAAAAAAAAAAGAAGTTATTTTTCTCTGATTTATTACTATTTTGTTTCCTCGTATTTATAACAGATAATTTTAACATAAATAATTGTAATTTTATTTGAACGTGAGGAGGGGACTGCTTAAGTGTGTCTCAAAAACGGAGTAAAAAAAAAGAAAAGTTACAGAACCATATGTCTTCATGAGTGTTGAGAAACAGATACTGTTACATCCGGATACTCCATTACTGTTTAGCTCTAATCAGAGCCAGATGTTACCTCTAGCGGCAGTCATTCAGTCCGGCTGTGACCAATCAGAGCAGGCCCAGCTGCTGGCCCCGCCCCCGCAGCAGCGGCGGGGTCTCTGAGGGGTTCTCCTCCTTTTCTGCAGCTCCGCTCTCTATCCGCCGCTGTTTTCTGCTTTCTGCCCATGGACAGAGGAGCGATGCTGACCGCGGCTCTGCTGTGCTGCTGGAGCTGCTCCGTGTATTTGGTCACAGCCATCCGGAGGACAGATCTGTTTCCTTATGGGACTTTGCATGGAGATGCAATTCTACCAGAGGGCGACGATGAGACCTCCAGAGCGCTGACCCTTCCTAGACCCCTTTACTTTTTTGACTCCTCATTCTCCCAGCTCTATGTAAGTAGAAAACTAATCACTTAATAAATAAGTTTATTTAGAGTATTTGCACATTTCATTCAGTCTGTCAGTTCTATCGCCATAGAAACACATTTTATATTAACTATTTGCTACTTGGATGAAATTACACATCAGTGTGCACTGCAAAAAAACTCCAAAGATTAGCAAAAATGTCTTAAATTAAGTGTATTTACCATTAATTTGAGTAGGTAAATAAGATAATTTGCCAATGGAATAAGATAATTAGATAATATGCACTTGAAATAAGACCATGCGATTGTTTTTTACTTATTTTAAATTTAAATTGTCTTGTTCCATTTGCAACGTGTCTCACTTACCTCCTGAATTCAAGAAAAATCTACTTATTGCAAGAAAAAGTGACTTAATTAGATTTAAATTTTTTTTTTGAGTGTGATAATTCTGGTTACTCCAAATCCAAGATTTTATCTTTTGCCAACTAAGCTACCAAGTGCCAAATCATTTAATTTAATTCAGTTTATTTCTATAGCGCCAATTTACAACACATGTCCTCTTTAGGCACTTTACAGTTCACCAGATCATACAGTCAAATTGATTCAAAGTTTTCTATATAAGGAAAACCAGTTGATTGCTTCGACTTGAATGCAATCTCTTACACTAAGCATGCTTGTAGCGAAAGTGGAGAGGAAAAACTCTCTTTAAACAGGAAGAAATCTCCAGCAGAACCAGACTCGGTGTAAGCGGCCATCTGCTAAATCAAAAAACATAATCTTTCAACACAAAGGAGGCAGTGATTTTTGTCACAGAAACCAGAAGACAAAAATCCAACGTTAAAACATAGCAATCGCACCATCGTCTTTTTTTTTTTTTATATGCAAATTAATATTTGAAAAGTCAGATTTGTGTTTAAACACCAATTTGAGTTAATGCTTTAAAGAAATCATCCTTTTTTTTTTTTAAGCGGTATGTCTAAATCAGCACCAGACATCTCTGCAACATTCCCATTGCCTGATGCTGGCACCACTATCTGATACAAGACCCATCTAAAGAACGGAACATAACCTGAAACATGGTTCTCAGAACTGTCTGCAAATAGATACCTGAAAAAATAGTTTGTTTAGAAGTCACATATTCAGTCGTTAAAGTTGGGCATTATCAAATGTAGATGTTGTGCAAGTGGTTTGTTAGAAAATCTGAGAGAATAATCAGCAGAAGGAGGAGCAAGGGTACATCAGAGGCCAGGGATGATGTTTGTCTTTCATTTCTAGTTCAGCTTGTGTGCAGATTATCCACTGGTGTCAATTAGGCATTTTTTTTGTAAACCCAGCTGATAGTTTCTTATTATGGGATGATTTCCTGCAAAATACAAGCAGATCCACAGTTTTTGAAACATTCAGACCAGCCAATATGTCAACTACAGCCATGCAACCTCCAGTGTCACTCAAATCTCCTTTCTTTCCCATTCTTATAGTTTCTATTTGAATGGCAGATTAACTATTAACAGATAATTACCTGTTTATCATTAGTCGTGCATGATTAGTAATTAATCTCCAGTGGTTGCTCAGTGTAAGGAATCTGAAATGTTCATCCTATATTACCCTGGTTTTATATAGGTGAATTTCAGATGTGCATCTTTCTATAACACTAGTGGGTCATGCTCTGTTATCCAGTTAATATTGAAAGTCGTTTCACTGTGGTTTGCTGGTTTCCTAAACGTAATCAGGTCCAGGCAGGGAATCCTCGAGGCTGTCCCCGGTGGTTTCTGGAAGTAATGAAGAGGTTCATTATGTGGTTCCCTGGGTCCATCATGGGGCTCTAGTGGCTCATAGGGGATGTAGAATCATTCGGAGATGCCTCCTTTTTTCAAACACCAACCTTCGCTCTGTTTTTTCCCGGCGTAGGTGGCCACCAATGGGATCATCTCGGCCCAGGACCTGCCGATGGAACAGCAGTATGTTGACGACGGCCTCCCTACAGACTTCCCCGTGGTGGCACCTTTCCTGGCTGACATTGATACCAGTGGAGGACGAGGACACATTTATTACCGGGTTACTGGGACCCCTGGCATCCTGAATAGAGTCACCCAGGTTTGTCCGATTAAAATTTCTGATTTAAAACCACTTTAAACAAAATCTCTCGGAAGAAAAACTAAAGTCCTATAGATTTGTTTTCTTCTGTTTGGTTCATCCTCCATTAGTGCATTCCATTGTTCCTCCCTCATGTCTCTCCATCCGTTCGCTCATTCATCTCCCCCCCCAGGAGGTGAACCGTGGATTCCCAGACGCAAAATTCACTCCCACACACGCTGTGGTGGCAACATGGGAAAACGTGGCGGCGTATGAAGACCAAGCTCGAGCCGCTGGTCCTTCGAACAAGGTAAGCCGGAAATGGTGCTGGCAATCGCAAACCTCTGATCCTAACTGGTGCATTTTAGAGTTCATAAGACACTTAGACCCAAATTCCTATAATTTGTGTTTCATTTATGCTCAGCCTATTTGTAACCCCCAGCATTCCCCTCTAATCTACCTCTTAACCTTTTGAAGGGGTCAGAGGCCATTTTAAAGTGTCATCAAAGACCCCCTCCCTCCTTACCTACACATTAACTCTTCTCCAGTTCCCACAGTACCTAGACCACTCATGCACAGACCAACACTCCCCTCTCCTTACCCAATATTCACAAAGTTTCTCCTACTTTCTGACCATCTAGTTTCATAGATTTATATATATATATATATATATTATAGGGGGATTTGTTGTAAGGAATGCAAGGAGGAAACAAGTTTCTGGAGCTGGGTCAGCTGCTTAGCTTTAGGCTACAACTCCAGCAGTGTTTGTTTATCCTAAATCTGTTCCCATTTATGAATTTAAAATTATTGTACGACGAGCCGTCCCTGAAGTTGCTCAGTACCTCAAAAAAATCCTAAAATCGTGTTTATCCTCAGAGAATATCAAGGATTTATCCTTTGTTTTGGTGTAATGTTTAATTCTGTCTGCACCCAAACAGGAAACTGGTCTGAACAATTACAACTGTCAACAAAAGACAAGCCAAATTCAAATGGAGAAAGATGAGGAAATTCTCTACATGAGCGGTTCAGCAGATGTTTCCACTGCCTCAGCTGTTGCTCCATTCATAAATGCTGCATTAAGCGAGACACTAGCTTCATTTTGTGCACCTGTTTCTTTCCCTCCACCAGAAATACAAACTGATGTTTTCAGAATCAGAAATACTTTATTAATCCCCAGAGGGTAATTACTTTTGTTACACGCTCCAGATACAGTTTTATATGTATATATATATATATATATATATATATATATATACAACAATTTGTCATCTACACAAACTTGTTAACCACTTCCACTGCATTCCAAATGCATACACTGGAAAAAGGTCATTTTTTCTTAAAATAAGTGCATTTGTTCTTGGATTGAGGAGGTAAAAGAGACATTTTTCCAATGGAACAAGACAATTTACATTTAAAATAAGAAAACACAATCGCATTGTCATATTTCAAGTGCATATCATCTAATTGTCTTATTTTAAGAGTAAAAATGCTCATTCCATTGGCTCACTATCTCATTTACCTACTCAAATTAAGGGTAAATACACTTAATTTAAGAAATTTTTTGTTATTTCTAGATCATTTTTCCAGTTTAGATATACACACTTCCTGGAAAAAACATTTTTTCATATCAAAACCACACACCTTAATGTATTCGTTTGGTATTTAAAAAACAAATGAAAAGAGA